ATACCATTATATTTTGTTAATTTTTTTTATTATTTTTGTGATGATATAGAACAGAGTTATGTCCAACCTTCTCAATAGTATAATCACCACAAGCTGAGGTGATTAATCATCACACAGGTCAAGGTAATTGAGAATTGCAACTGTCTAAGCAATGACATAGCAATCAACCTCACAATTACCCTATATACAAATAACATGTAAATATGAGAAACAGTATTAAGAAAAAGAGGTATATAAACAGAGCCTTCTCTGAACCCATCTCTTAAAAATCATTTTAGTATTCACTCAGATAGTTTATTTAGTTAACAATTAAATATTTATTCATTTATATCTAGATTGAAGTTGTGATAGATTTATTTATTCTTATTTTTATTATAAAAACTTCTTTTATTACTATTTATTAGAAATTTAAAAGTGCTTTTTAAAAGCTTTATAATTAAAGTCAATAGCTTTAAACTGAATATTAATTTTTATAGATAGTTATAAATAACTTTTGATCTTAATTCTATATAAAACTTTTATTATTTAACTTTAAAAATTTATTGATCAAACTATAAAATTTGATATCTGACTTCTATTATGATATAACTTCTTACATATATATTAAAATTAATTCATTTTACTTTAAAGATTGATTTGATTAAATTCTCAGTTATTTTTTATATTCAGTTACTTATTTACTTAATATTTTATTTCTTAGTTTAATATTATTATTATAGCTATTTAATTAGATAAATAAATTAAAGATTTTATTTTTACTCTAGATTAAATTATAATATAATAATAAATTTTTTTTTTTTAAAAAAAACTCTAGAAATTAACTAAATAAATTTTATATCTATGTTTATATTTATATCTATATTCATGTTCTAGATCTATATCTCTATTCATATTTATAACTATACTCATATTTGAATAAATTTTTCAATAGTTGTAACTGTGTTAAATGCTTAGAAACTTTTATTAATTTTTTATATATTTTTATATATTCTTATCTTTATTAAAAAAACTTCTTTTACTACTCTTTGTTAGAAATTTAAAAGTATTATTTATATATTTTATAATCAAAATTAATAACTTTAAGCTGAATATTAATCTTAATAAATTAAATATTAATTTTAACAAGTTGCTTTAAGTAGCTTTTAATTTTAATTTTATCTAAGACTCTTATTGTTAAATTTAAAAAAATTTACTATTTAAACTCTGAAATTTAATATCTAACTTCTTTCAATCAAAGATAAATTATATTAATCAAATTATTATTAAAGATTTAAATACTCAGTTATATTATTTTACTTGAATCTATATTAAATAATTTTTTCTTAACTTACTCAAGTTGAAAAATTAAATAATTAAAGCTATAAATCAAATTTTCAATTAGTTTTTTTTTATATGATAATTCGTGTAAAATAATTAAAATAAAAGATAAAATAAATAGTTTAAAGCAGAGATCAGATAAATTTTTAATAAATTATATTATTAAGTTTGAATATATTCTTTATAAAATTAAAATTTAAAATTTATTGAATTTTTTAAAAATATTTTAACTTTATTAAAATCTTAATATATTAATTTAATAATATCTAGCTCAGCAGTTAATTTTTTTTTATATTTATAGAAAGTTTTTATATATTATTCTATAATTAACTTTTATTATCTCTTATTTATCTTTATTTTATATTTTTAAATTTGCTTATTATAATTACTATAATTATTATGATCACTTTGATTATTATAATTTTATAAAATTAAGTTAAGTTTAATTTAATATTTTTAACTTTTATATAACTTTTTATTATATATTTTATAATAAATATGTTATTAAATATAATTTTAATATTTTTTTATAAAAAAAATTTATTAGATAAAAAAAGTAAATAAATAAGAGATAAAAAATAAATACAGAACTTTATAAAGATTAAAAAAAAATATTATAAATTTAATAAATAATTTAAATATAATATAATTTTAATTATAAAAAATACTAATATATAAATATTAATTTCTTAAATATTTTATTAATTTTATTTTCTTAATAGAAGAAAAATAGTCATAAAGACTATTATATATATTGTAGATCTTATAATTTTTTAATTAAAAATTATAGTTTTTATTTTTATTTTTTTAAATTTTATTATTACTGTTAAACTATTTAATAGATTTTAATCTTTAGATAAAATTTTAATGATAATAATTTTAATATTAATAAAGTATAATATATATATATATAAATAATTAAAATAATTAATTTATTGATAAATTTAATAAATTTTATTTGCTTTTTTTTTACTTCTAATATATTTACTTGAAAATAAGTACTTCTTTAAATCAGAGAGTAATATTATATTATAACTATTTATAATATAAACTAAAATTAATTTACTTAGTCTAAAAGATTAATTTATTTTAATTATTATTTTTTTATATCTAATTACTCTTTTATTTAATATTATAATTCTTAATTTAGTATTTATATTATAAATTATCTGATTAAATAAATAAATTAAAGTTTTATATTATTATTATTTTAATTTTAAACTAAGTTATAATATTTATCATTATAATATTTATTTATAAAAATATAATTTTAAGACTTTAAAAACTTTATAAATAAAATTTTTATAAATAATTTATATATTTTTAAAAATTATTAATATTACAAATTTTATTTTAAAATTTATATTTTAATATAAAAAACTTTACTAAAATTTTTAAATTTAAAAGATTTGAAAAAATCATTATTTTTTTATATTTTCAAAAAAGTTACTGCAGTATTCAGTTTTATATATTTATCAACAAATAATAGTGTAATTTGTATCTTTCTTAAAGAGATATTTAAGTATTGCAAGTTTGATATTCATGTTATTTGACATGACATTGACATTTGAAGCTTGGGGGTTAGTAGAGTAAAAATCGCGTTCGTTGACTGGTGGATTAAAATAATTATGTAGTTAAACCCAAGAAAGATTTTGATATCTGGAGTTTAATATTTTAACCTGCCGTGTACTACTTCCCATTAATTAACCTCCAACTTGAGTGCCAAGGTTTTGTCTCCACAATATCTGTTCTTCGATCAGCTCATGATTTGTTAAAGCCTTAAATGGCTTCAGTTCAACCGACATGCTTGAAGTCAAATAAATTCTTCCCATCAGAGGACCTGTGTCCTGCGCAAATCGATCGGACACCGAAAAAGAATTTTCACGGCCTTCAAGTTGGGTCTAGACCAAGCAAGTTATGACAGAGTGGCAAGCTTGATTCATTGCAGAGATTGCGCGCTACGAGAACGACTATATATTGTGGAAAGCAGGTTACGTGACGGAAATGTCCGACAAGTTAATGCATCCAAGGTGCGAAGCAGCCTTTCAGTCTGTCCTGCCAAGGGGCGGCTTGATGGCAGTGCTGACGATGACACAGGTGAGGGCCGGAATAAGGGTTCAGGATTCAACACATGTTAACTATTCGAATCGAGGACGGAAAAAGAAAATAATTAAAAGAAGATGCCTTGCCCTCACATAAATTTTACCCCTTCCTTCGTTTCGACACATTCAGGGTATAGTTCAACACTGCCTACGATATATATGCTTTACTTACGTTCGAAAAACTAGTCTTTGGAAACTAGAGGTATGGGTAAGCCTTACGAACTCTTCAGCATTGGATGTGAAAGGCGGATTGAGCGAAGTGCACGAGAGGAGTGGAGCCAGGTGAGGGAGAGGGAGAGGGAAGGGAAATATAGAGGCTCAAAATGGCCAAGGCAAAAGAAAATGTATGAGATAACTTGCATTTGCTTACTGGTTTACCTCTGCATGTTCTGCGTGCATGATAAGCGGCTCTCTCACATCAGCAACTGAGCCACATTCAGTCATTGAAGGTTGCACTGCTGCGTTGAAGCTTAAACTATTTCACCGCACTTGGCCCTGTCTTGAAAGACATTTGTCAGCGCTTCGCGTGGTTTTCCATAGAGATTTGGTGGCGATTATACCTTGATTTGTCTGCAGACTGCCAACTTGCTCATAGTTCATGCGATATGCTAATGACGCACATCTCCTCCCGGGAGACATCCTAATTCATCTTCCAATGTATCCCGCAGGCTCAACCAGGTGTTAAATTCGGATATTGTACCTGAAGAAATGGCGGGTACATACAGTGCCTCGCCTTTTGTCAGATACATAATGATCTGTATTTTAACATTATACGAGAGGAGTAATGTGGGGAAATACCAGATCGTTCAATAACTCCAATCTACAGACGACCACCCTTGATGAAATAGTAGCTGTGGGAACCCTCAGGTTAACTATATATCTGCGTATCAAGGTGCGCTCACCTGACAAACTGACCTTTGAATACAAGGCAATTTCCAGCATTGTTGCCAAGAATACTCGGTTTCCGCTCAAGTTGTTGCCTTAACACGCGGCAACTGTTGACAAAAATTTCCAAATCTCTGCTAGGCATCACTGTGACCCCTTGCGACGATTCCCCGTTATGGCGGCCCTTGGAGAATGTTGAACTGAGGTTTGTTGAACATTCATGATGTGAATTTAATCGTCTTTTAGGAGATTGTTGAGGTAAAACTCAGGCTTGCAAAAAATTCAACTTTCAGCGTAAAATCCATATTATTGCCCAAGATGAGAACATCCAACTTGGTTTCAACTTAACCAAATCGTCGATCGTATCAAGTGCGAAAAGGGGCAAGAGCAGATAATGTGCCCACCAATGTGACCCTCTCGACTTTCACGGCACTTGGAAAACATGCATGAAAAGTTGGAAGTCCCCCCAAATACCCATGCCCGAGTGTCTGCCACCGGGGATACTATTTATGTTCTGTTGCCTCCTTATAATATTGGAATTCGAAAGCCAAAAAGAAGTTAATATTGTTTTAGTTAGGAAAAGAATCTCTGAAAACAAAAGCCGCAAACTTGCGAAAATATTAAATAAATGGTGGAATCACTTCAAGAAAATGCCAGTCCAGACAGATTCCGGTTCTTATGCTCCTTTGGGTACAGAAACGAAAAGTGGACGGTCTGACGGATCAGAAATCACTCCAACATTTGACCATAATACCTGTCGATGTATGGGAGAGCTATGCTGCTTTCACCAGAACAGCAATTTTTCTATTTCCCGAAAATAAACCTTTGGTGCAGGACGCTCTTGGGAGTATTATGGATTACCTTGAAGGGGCACCATGTCCACCAATCTTGCGGTGAAGATATTTCGCTGAAGGAGACGCTACAAAACCCAACGTTTGAACTGAACGACAAAAATCAAAAGGACGATTTTCCAGGACTAAGGACTAGCTGGCGAACCATTGAAATAATCCATCTTTCCGGTCTTTCAATTCTTCGAATTCGACTCCGATACCAATGGCACGCTCCCCATTGTCTTAGGATAGGCCTGGCGATGGATTATCAGAAACACTTGTTCCCGAACTACCGGCTTTCACCCCTGTTGAGCTTCCTGATACAAGCTCAAGTACAAAAGGCCGAGTATCATTACATTAAAGATTTAGTCCTCCCCTACACTCAATTTCGGGAGTAAGGGTCTGTTGCAAAAGCTCTCCATGCGGATTTCAATATCAAACTAGCTCTATACCCGCTTCAAAAAGCTATCTAGTCCAAAAAGAGCCGTCTGTGGAACGTCCTCCAAAAGCAGACAATAAGATTCGGTTAGTCCTTGGAGCCCGACCTTCTCAAGGGCTCGTCTCCGATAACGGATTCTCACTTGGGCAAATTGCCCGTTACACCTCGTCCCATGGCGGGGAATATAACGTTCCACCCTCAGGAAGGCTGCGTTGATGGAAGAGATGTCTCCGATCAAGATACGAATGTTAGGATTTTACCACCAGAAAAGCATAAACATGGAGTTCGCCAGAAAACAACCGGTTATTCCGAATATAAAAGTGGAGGAAGTTTTCAAGCGCACGAAGCTACAAGTGCTACGTCTCAATATAGTTTCGATTTTGTAACTGGAGACAGTGGCGAAAAGGCCAGGAACCCCGACGAAAGTGGGAACAATTCCGAGGGCGAAGATGACGAGGGTAATAAGAACCAAAACGCAAGCGGTTCAAGAGCCCAGTTCCCGGGCGAGCCAAACGGCAATTCGCATGTCTCTGTCATAAGTGTGATCCATAAGTCTACCATGGAGATCGTGATCGAAGGTACCTCGTATGTTCTGGGACCAGCTTTGCATGCATTTCAATACTCAAGTATGTGAATGAATACTCATTGCTAGTCTTGCGGTTTTATTCTTCTCTACACCTGCGATGACATTCTCATAAACTGAACATTGTGCTAACAATTTCGTAGGCGTCACCTCTCTCAGACCCACGGTGAATACGTTTGCAGCGAATGTTATCGGACATTTGAAAATAGCCAGCTTCGACGGGATCTTGCCCAAAGCCGTACTATGAAGCTTCATTGTTCTCAGGAGGAGATATGGGCTTCTATGTGGCGGGAAAGATTCAGAGGGGCGCCCCTACCCAAATCCCCATGTGAGCAGAATTTGTCTCCTTTTTTTTTCCCGTTTCTCTACAAGCTATCATAATGCATAATTCGTTAAATTCCGCGACGTGTAATCGAGCAGGGGTACTAACCATGCGTAGATTGGGAGCCATCGTCTCGACCCTTGTTACCTCGATTGAATACTTCTGTTGAAGGATTTCCTGCGTCATTGAGAGGTAATTCAGGATCTTCGAACACTTACAATTCGTCTCCATCTAACTCTGGATTCATGAATATATCTCAAGTCTTCAAATATGCAGCCCTACGAAATCGGCAATTCCCCACTCAGCCCCAACTCGAACACACCGACAAGGGAAACGATGTTATCATTGAGCGTCGAAATTCAGCAATTGAGGCGCCGTAATGAAATGCTTGAACATCGAGTTTCATACTTAGGAAAGATGGTACTACGGACTCCCTTTTCTCTTGGAAACGCCACTAACAATGTTTTGGCTCGTTTGCCATTATCCTATGACGGTTCTTTCAATAATTTGCCAAGTGGAGAAGCCTTTAAGCGACCTTTCGACGACAACCTTTTTGAGAACCGAGGAGAAGCTACAATCCCCAATATCATATAGCCACCAATGTTGGTCAACCTTCCCCAATTGCATCTTAGCTAAGGATGAAATTGACTATTCAACGATACTCCCTCCTATGATGAACCAGGATAGATCAGAGCAACTTGGTGGTTCACTATTAGAGTCAGAGATGCCAAAAGCATCCGAACCATTAAACCAGACAACGGGACCCGACTTGATCGATCTGCTAGAACTCGCTGTCATAGATCCAAATATCGAATTCTCTTGGTCCAACATACAATCTCTGAATTTTCCTTACAGTGATGAGTCTTAAACGCTCAACGACTTCTTCAATGGAACATATTTTTTAACTACTTGCATCCGCACATTTCGAAGCCGACAGATTTCTAATTTACTTCCGTGCTTTGCATATACTTTAGTGGTACGTAACCACGCTTTTCCTTTTTGACGAGGATTGTTACCAATACTTTGTTCCATTCGAAAGCCATTGTTGCTTGTAAAAGGATTATTTTGGATGTACATCTGGACGAATTCACCGATTTTCAGCTGATCTGATAATTTCCTGTCAAGAACTGCTCGTTCACCGTTTACGCGGATCCATCATGATAAACTCAGTTTCCTTTCCTTTCCTTTACATTTCCATGACTTTCTCCTTCTGAGTAGTCATCGAGACACCAGAACTCAGAAACCTGATTAATTACATTTCCAATGACTACCTGACTTTAATTAGAGTAGAAAGAAATGGAGAGATAAGTAGGATGCCAATTTATCATACACTTAACTGTTTTTCTTTATTTGTACTTTCTTATTCTTCTTTCTAAGATCATGAGACAGGTTGCAACGATAGAATTGACTTGAAAAATGGTGAACATTTGAGAAAGACAGCATATAATAATAATTTCAGAAAATTCTCATATTTGTGTTGGACGATAATAAAAAAAATAAAAATAAAAATAAAAAATCAGCTAAAAGAAGCTTAAAGACGACTTTTATAAGATGGGATATTCGATTTTCTGTCGAAGAATGAGTAGTGTGCAGACAATATGGGTATAATTAATTGTCAGAGCAACAGATGCTATTATCTTTTCTTTTTCTCTTCTATCATTGTTCTATATGTATCTGTTCCTCTCTTCTTTCATGTCATGCTAGAATCCTTGCATGAAATAGATAAATCTTCACTCCTTATATCACACATATCACACCTAAGAAGTTCTAAAATTAAGAGTTCCGGCACTCCTGTACAAGTGATCACGCATCTAATACAGGTAAACACAGAGCCACTCACAAAGGTCTCAGGTTGCTTTTTATAAAAAAGTATATTGCGTCTAACCAAATACTTTACATGCAGAACGTATAACCAGGGAAATTCGATGCCAAGATGTTGCTTAATCTGTCAACATTAATTAACTCTACATCGATCTACGAGGCTAAAACCTGCGGAGACAGAGGACAGGGGCTCGTCGCGAATGAGAGCTTTGACGAAGGAGAGTGTATCGTCTGTGAAGAAGTGATGGTCGCCGTAGGGACTCTTGAGACCACCGGAGGTTCAATCGCTTCATATAACAAGTACCTTGCGCAGCAAGTGAAAGCCGTGGCGAACCCAAGTTTCAGCCGCAGGTTCTTCGAGCTTCCCCATCTGCCGAAGGAAAAATGGGGTCCATTTGCAGCTGTTTTCGAGCGAGGTTCCATCCCAATACAGATAGGGGCCGTGAGAGGTCGTGTCCTTGGTTTGAGCTCCGCGTACCTCAACCATGCATGTCTTCCAAACGCCCAGCATACGCTGTTTACAATGAAATGCAACAATGACAAGGAGGAGAGATATTTCCTTACCGTATACGCTTGTAAGAAGGTTGCGCAGGGGGAGGAAATCACAATTCCATATGACGTCTTGTACATGGATAGAGCCAGCCGCCAACAGTTCCTCCTGCAGGAGTATGGGTTTGAGTGTGCTTGCAAGCTCTGCGGAAAAGAAAACTCCAGAATTGAGGCTGGGTTTGAACTTATCTACTTAAAACTCCCAATCATCTTCACGGAAAAGGTAATCGATGCAGAACCGGCGGGTATCCTGCAGATGGCCCACACGCTTTTAGACATACACCTCAAGGCTGAAATAACTGATAATCGATTTGCTCGGATTTGGGAACATTGTGCATTCGTCTGCACGTGGCACTCTGATGAGGGGAGGGCTATGGTGTTCTTGTCAAAGGCTCAGAATGCCTTTCTCAAAATCCAAGGGGCCAATGGCAAGGACTACTTGCGAATTAAAGAATTGCAGAAAGATCCAATGAAAACTTCGCATTCTGGAAGTACGCAGAGAGGACTCTCTTCAAAAAATGATATGGATATTATCCGCAGAAATCAAGAGCGAGACGTGGAAATCCTGTTCATGCTTGATGCCAATGACCTTGGAGATTACATCAAGCTTTCCGGGTATGAACGGGCGGATAATAGCACAATGGAAGTGGGAGATGAAGGGGATAATTGTGAGAAAAGCTCAATCGTAGATATCGATGAGCTGGTAAGGGAACTCCAGGTGGAAAAAAAAGAACACGATCAGTCTCGTCACCGCCATCCCAGCGGCGCTGAAGCTAAGTCAAAGAAAGCAAAGCGCAAGGGTAGTGAGAAATATAAAAAGAAGGCCAGGTATGACGTTGGTGGAGGAGGTGTTGATGATGATAAAAATCAAGAAAAGGGGAAGCAATCCTAGGGTCTAAATTGAACTTCAAGATTAATTCCTTGTTTACCAGTTTCCAAGGACATATTTGACGAGCAATTAGAAGTTCCAGGGCAATTTCAGAATTATTAGTTTCAAATTTGCGTTTTAAGCAGTAGCTGTAGCTTAAATTAAGAAATGTATGATGGCTAATTAAGTGGAGCAGTATTGATTCAGAGAACAGCTCTTTAAAAAGGATTCTCCTACCTGTTGTGAAAGATCGTTGGAGATGGGTAAGCATTATCTTGTATATTTGCTTGGAAACATCTCGGACCAGTAATACTATAGCAACTCTGCCGAAGTCATGACAGGAAGCTTAAGGTAAGTCTGGCTGTCTGGCTATTGCGAAGCCCGTCTTAGGAACGGCTGGACGAAAAGGGAACTGAATTTCCTCGGCTCGGGCCGACACACGACAAACTTTTACATCGGCAAGCCGAAGTTGACACTGGGACGTAGCCTATTTCTACCAAACATGCGAGAGATTGATTCTATCCCCAGATATATATTCAATAACTTTTAGAACAAAGTGGCTAGGAGAAAATACGGTGGTTATTTTTCCATTAGCGCTATAGGTTGATATGCTTTTCGAAGCAGATGAAATATTAAAAGATAAAAGAGAACAGCGGTCATTTAACTTCCATAAACTGTGGAGAATTAGGTTTCACCAGTTCTCCATTAGATTGATGATTTCAGAGGTCTTGAAGGAGGCAGTAGTAGAAATCATGGGAAATGGCATTTAATCGAAACAAAAAAGAATGTCTGTTGAGCTGTAACTGCGTAGATTTGCAATAAATCTTGCTAGAGCACAAGTGCTAGAGCTAGTGACCCAACGCCACAAGTCCAGCTGACCGAATGTCATTGGAAATATCTGTAAACAGAGCAACAGCTTGAAGTCCATTAAGCAATCAATACCGTGACGATTGTTCTTTTTGCCTATGTTCCACCTTTGATTCCCCATCTTCGCTATACTTGCCAGACGATAAACCTGAGGGACAAAATTGCAACAACCAAAATCAACTGAAGAGGAAAAAGTCAAAATTGAAAGCAAAACAGGGCAAAAAGGGAACAAAAAGCCAAAAAGCGAGCCGTCTTCCATCATTTAACAAAACAATAAGAGTCGCAAAACACAGGCCATGGGGTGTTACACTTCATATCCCCCTCTGCTCTCCGGGACGAGATATAAGCATCATAGCCAGTTTTGGTGAAAACGTTGTTGCCTAAGAATCGGCAGCACTACAGTCGACAACATGATTTGAAGTTCAGATATGCGGGTTATAATGGCATCAGGTAACGTAATCCACCACGCCCGCCATTTCGCCATCACTATGATGAAATATTTTCAACGTTATTTCAACAACGCAATTAGATTTTAAGATGATATATTATAGGATGAAAATATATATAGAAAATTACATATAAAAATATATAGCTAATTCAGTAAACGTTTGTTTGGCTTAATAACTTGCCCAGAATGTGAAATCTTGGGTGGAGGCAGATTCAGTGAGCAAGCAGTCATTAAACCAGTAGAGATTGCAATATCATCATATCCCTCTGGCAGTGGATCCGTGGGCACTCTGGCAGGGCTCTGAAAACGTGATTTAGCCACTCTTTGCGAAATTGAGGGTCTACTTTCCGGATTAGGAAGGTGATTTTTGAATTCTTCAATTCAATCATGATTGTAGCCGTACGGCAGCTCATTCTTCCTTTTCTTTTTGCTCCTGAGCCTTTTCCTCATCTCTAAGCTCCTTGTCAATCTGCCGTTGAGCAGCTCTTGTGGCCTTATCCATTTCCTTTTGCTGTTTTGTGGCCTGGTGAGCTGCCTCCCGCTCCATCCTCTGCTGGATGATATCTGCCTCCTTCTGTTCCTTAAGAATAGTGTGTTGCAGCTTTGCATCCTCCTTACAAGCTTGCTCATCCTTTTTGGCAACCTCTGAGGCCGCCAAATTCTTGCGGATGCTCTGCACCTTTGCTGGTGAGAAGAACTGCACCAATGATGGATTCAAGGGATCTAGCAGCCTCATTGCCCTGCCACGCTTGTGACATCTCCTCTCTTGATTAAGAGCTTTTTGAAGCTGCTGATTCTCTATTAAAAGAACCTCTTTATCAAGAGCAAGATTTTCCCCTGCACAGATCACCTGGTTGAGATCATTAGATATTTGATGCTGCTGTTGCTTGACTTGCTTCACCAATTTCCACAGGCCAACAATAGAAGTAGGTGTTCTTGGTTGATATATTGCATCAGGGGGGGTGCAAGGTCGTATTTGAAGCTTTTTAAGAATGCATTCTGGATTGAATGGATGTAGGCCAGTAGCAGTAAATGCAGCTTCAATATTTGAAGATGTAACTGCCTCCTTCCACACAGTGTCAAAAAGCTGCCAAAAAGACCTCTTTGTAGTGCGTATGAATCCCATTCCAGTTCTCATTCATTCATTCAGTTGTTTGGAATATGATTTACCCAATGGTCCAAATATCCCAACATCTAGCGGCTGTAATCAGTGTGTAGAATGAGGAGGAAAGACAGTGAGAAGAATTCAATTCTGATCTGCATAATTGATGAATGCCATATTAACATGGGATGAGTGGTCATTCAATATAAGAAG